CATAAACGCTGAGTATGTAGACATTTAAGTAGACTGTAAGCATAGGATTAAGGATTGTAAAAGACAATGGACAGAATAAATTCACATCTCTCTCTGTGAACACGTATTTTGTATTTAGTTTTAAGTCGTTGTTTGTATTTAGTTTTAAAAAAGCTCTCGGCAGCTCCCGCAACTTGACTAAGTAAAATAGGTAAATATTTGAGTCACTTAAGATTCGCAAATGACGTGGTTTTATTATCTGAAAATAGTGGGCATGTTACAATATATGATAGACACTCTCCACACAGGAAGCATAAAAGTGGGCTTTAAAATAAACTTAACAAAAACAAAAATTATGACAATTAGCTCAAGAAAAAACATTATTATTGAAAATAAACCGTTAGAATATGTAGAATCTACATCGGAAAGCAAACAGAGTTTAAAAACAATAACTACGAGTTAGAAGTAGAACGAAGATCAAAAATAACTTGGAATCAATGCTGGTCATATAAGGAAATATTAAAGAGTAACATGCCGGTAGAGTTAAAAATGAAAATTATGGACCCGTGTATACTTTCCTTCTTAACGAATACTCACCAGTCGTGGAAATTCGCTAGAAAAATTAAAAACAAACTAAATACATGTTAGAGATGCATGGAGCGTAGTATGCTAAAAATAAGAAAGGTATATAAAGTCCGACATACAAAGATAAGAAACATCACAAAAGCTATTGATGCTCTGAGTTATACTTAAAAGTTAAAATTTAGATGGGCCGGCCATGTAGTACGTCTCGAAAATAAGAGATGGACTTCTATCATAACCACATGGAATGGCCCTCCAGGAAAAAATGCACAGGCAGACCATGTATGTACTGGGAAGATGACATAAAAAGATTGCGGATCACATTGGACACAAATAACAAAAAACAGAGACAAATGAAAATCTTTGGAGGAGGCCTATACCTAAGGGGGGTATATGCAAAGTAAACAAACACCAATGATTAAATAGATCTTTAATAAATTATAAATTAAAATATTTTGTCCATTTGCAAGTAATTTAAATTTTAAATTTTATTTTATCCCATTCATAATGTTACAAAAAGCAAAATCCATTTAAAATGGTTTCTTAACGTTTATAAGTAAATTACTTACATAGGAAAAATATTACTAATATAAATTTATAAGCATAAATTTTAACCGAATATTATAAAAATAGTTGTAATACTCAGAATTACGAACTAAATTATCTCAATCAAATTCATTCAACAATTTATACGTGGTAGAGCCATGCTGCAGCTATATTAGTAGTATACTTGTAGCACGAATGGGTCGGCTCGACCGGGGAAGGACCACGCTTTCACAGAATACCAGCGTTAAATAGCAGCACAGTAACCACTTACCATCAGATGGACTGTGTGCTCGTTTGTCACCCTTATTCTATAAAAAAAATCCTTTAAAAAATTGTAGTAAAAAAAATGTACTAAAAATCTTAAAAAAATAATCTAAAATTATATTTTTCAATTTTATTTATAAAATGCAAATTATATTGTAAAACTTATTTGGCATGGAATAAAAAGCGTTTTTAATTTAATTTCATTTATTTAAATTTATGTAATAATATATGTAATTATTTTATTAATATATGACATATATTAATAAAATATCATATATTAATATTATCTCATTATTTTTAATATATGAGATAATATTAATATATTAAATTATAATAAAAAAACTTCGGTTGCCAACCCGCTCGCCAAGCGTGGCAACTATGGCAAATACCCCCGCTATGAAGAGAGTAACAAAGAGACGGCCCTCAGTCCCCGGCGGCCCCGCTATTCCTGGCTACGGTGGCGACCATGGTAACGGCGGGGCAGGGGGTGCTAAGAATCTCCGGTGGAGGTTCGGTTGCCACCTTAGAAGACTTGACCTGGCAACGTACAACGCACGCACCCTGAGGACTGACGAGATGATCGTAGAGCTGGAAGAAGAGATAGACAAGTTACGCTGGCATATTATAGGATTATCCGAAGTCCGAAGTGAGGGGGAGGATACGGTAATCCTCGAATCCGGTAACTTGCTTTATCACCGGGAGGGCGACCATCTGTCCCAAGGAGGTGTCGGATTTATCGTCCATAAGTCTCTCGTTAACAACGTTGTAAAGATCGAGAGTGTGTCAAAGAGGGTTGCGTACCTTATACTCAGAATCACCAAACGGCATTCGCTGAAGGTCATACAAGTTTACACACCCCGATGAGGAGCTGGAGGAAATGTAGGAGGAGATAGCCATGCATTCCTCCAAAACCCAATATACAGTGTTAATGGGAGACTTCAATGCAAAATCAGGTACAAGAGAGAACGGTGAGCTGAAAGTAGGGAAATTTGGAATAGGGTTACGGAACCCAAGGGGCCAGCAGCTGACCGACTTCATTGAAAAAGAGGGACTTTATGATGAACTCTTTCTTCCAGAAGCGGCCCCACAGGAAGTGGACCTGGTCGAGCCCGGGTTCGACAAAAAATGAGATTGACTTCATTATGACGACCAGACGACAACTTTTTAGTGATGTCTCCATGATCGCGAGGGTGAAAACTGGTAGCAATCACCGAATGGTTAGAGGCACACTGAACCTAAACGTTAAGTTGGAGAAGTCTCGTCTAATGAAGTCAACGCTCCGTCCCCCTCGTGCTCTGTTCCAAAGTCCCGAAACCTTTCAGCTCGAGTTACAAAACCGTTTTCAGTGCCTAGAAAACCGCAATGAAGTGGACGATATGAATGACCAGCTTGTGGAAACTGTCCATGCGGTCGGAGCTAAGTTCTGCAAGACCCGCCGCAGAAGAACACAAAAACTCTCCGTTCACACTCTTAATCTCATGGCCGTTAGACGGGAGATGAAGCTACATTCTTCAACAGATTTGACAGCATACAGGCAACTGAACAGACAGATCTCCAAATGCATGTGGCGGGATTTACGCAACTTCAATACAGCTTGTATTGAAGAAGCGATCGAGTGGAACCAAGGCTCCAAAGTCTTTGGCAGAGATCTGTCTGCCAGAAAGAGCCAACTGTCATAGCTGAGGACCGAGTGTGGCAGCATTGTTTCCGGGGCACCTGAGATTTTGAGTGAGATTGAGAGGTTCTATGGGCAGCTGTACACGTCATCGTTGGAGCCACACGCAAATGTGAGTAACGATCCAAGAGCGAGTCTTATCCGACATTATTCCGAAGATATCCCGGACGTCAGTCTGAGCGAGAGTAGAATGGCTCTCCAGCATCTTAATAACGGCAAGGCCCCAGGCGAGGATGGAATTATAGCGGAACTTCTGAAAGCGGGTGGAAAACCGGTACTTGAAGTCCTTCAGAGGTTCTTTAATTCCGTCCTCCATGGTGGCATTACACCGGAGGCGTGGAGCAGAAGTGCGGTGGTCTTCTTCTTCAAGAAAGGTGACAACGCTCTCTTAAAGAACTACAGACCGATTTTCCTTCTGAGCCGCGTCTACGTGCTGTTTTCGAGAGTCATTACGAATCGTCTCGCGCAGACTTGACGACTTCCAGCCTCCCGAAAAAGCCGGTTTCCGTAAGGGCTTTAGCACCATAGACCACATACATACCCTTCGGAAAACTGTACAGAAGTCCGAGGAGTACAATTTGCCTCTATGCCTGGCGTATGTGGACTATGAGAAAGCCTTTGATTCTGTCGAAATTTGGGCGGTGCTGCAGTCCCTTCAGCGGTGCCAAGTTGACTGTCGGTATATCGAAGTGCTGAAGTGCTTGTACAGTAGGGCTACGATGGCTATTCGAGTACAGAACCAGAGTACGAAACCTATCCAATTGCAGAGAGGTGTAAGACAGGGTGACGTTATATCCCCGAAACTCTTTACTGTTCCATTGGAAGAAGTTTTCAAGCTTCTGGACTGGAAAGGATACGGTATTAACATCAATGGCGAGTAAATCACTTACCTTCGATTTGCCGACGATATAGTCCTTATGGCAGAATCGCTGGAAGATCTAAGCACCATGCTCAATGACCTCAATAGTGTCTCCCAACGGATAGGTGTTAAGATGAACATGGACAAAACAAAGATCATGTTCAATGTCCATGTCACACCTATGCCGGTAGTTGTTGAGAGCACTAAGCTCGAAGTTGTTGACGAGTATGTTTACCTGGGACAAATAGTCCGACTAGGTAAGTCCAACTTCGACCGAGAGGTCAATCGACGGATTCAACTCGGCTGGGCAGCGTTCGGGAAACTACTACACATCTTCTCGTAAGACATTCCTCAAAACCTTAAAACGAAATTGTACAACCAGTGCGTGTTGCCAGTGATGACTTACGGATCTGAGACGTGGTCTTTCACTGCTGGCCGTATGAGGAAGATCAAGGTCGCTCAGCGAGCTATGGAGAGGGCTATGCTCGGAGTTTCTCTACGTGATAAACTTAGAAATGAGGATATCCGCAGTAGAACCAGAGTGACCGACATAGCCCAACGGATTAGTAAGCTGAATTGGCAGTGGGCCGACCATATAGCTCGAAGAACTGACAACCGATGGGGAAGAAAGGTTCTTGAGTGACAGCCTCGTACCGGTAGGCGAAGTGTAGGGCGACCCCCCACGAGATGGAGTGACGACCTGGTAAGACATGCAGGAAGTCGATGGATGCAGGTGGCTCAGGACCGTGCTTTGTGGCATTCCTTGGGGGAGGCCTATGTTCAGCAGTGGACTTATGAAAGGCTGTAATGATGATGACTCAGGACTGAAAATGCATTTGCCTTATGATTCTTAACAGCCACAAGCCTTAATATATTATCAGGCAGCTGTGTGCTTGTTTTTCAGCCTCATTTTATAAAAAATGCCTACAACATTATGTAGTTTTGATGCTGCACCGTATACAGTGTGATTGGCATTGTATTTGCTTTGATCCGGAACCGAAAATATAGTGATTGCATTTATTTTAATCTAGTACCGACTACACAGTGATTGCGCTTGCCTTGATTCGGCACCGACTACAGAGTGATCGCTTGCAGTCAGGCTTGGAGCTGCTGTCGCTGTCGGGCGAGAGCGTGTCCGGCGGCGAGGCGGGCGGCGGCGGCGTGCGCTGCGCGCGCGTGTCGCCGCACCGCCCTCCGCTCTTGCTTCTTGCCACAGATGACGGCGCGCTCGCACTCTGGAGACTCGACCAACACAGCTCCGAGCCAATCCAGTGAGACAATAATATATTTAATTTTTTATTAATTTCAAACTTTATCAAAAATAAGCGGTTGACTGGTAGAGAATGCCATAAGGCATGAAGTTTGCCTTTTGTAACCCCTAGTTGAAATTTTCGTGTAGTGGCAGTGTAAGAATATCCACTACCCCATGTCGCCCCATGGTGTCGTAAGAGACTATAGAGGAAAATAAACCTGGAGACGGTCAGCAGCGTCTACCTAATTACAACTAAAAATTAAAAAACTGCGATAGCTAACCCGCCTGTTCAGCGTGGTAACTATTACAAATATCCCCTTTATGACACAATCTATGGGGAACATAGGCCATGTTCAGTATTGGAATTTGATAAGCTGTAACGGTAACTGTAAACCCTAGTTTAAAGTAACCACTTTATAACCGCATAACCACAATAACGAATACATAAATAAATTCCAAATAAGGAACTTAATGCCTATCGGCATCCTATACCAGTCATCTCCGGGCTGGTGAGAATTAAAGGCAAGTAATATTAGCCGTGTGATGACGGCGTAAGATAATTCATCACCTTATTTCTTCCCGTGGGTGTCATAAAAGGCGAGTATTAGAAATGCCGAATAGACCTCATGGCTTTTGATAGATAGTGCTATAGCCATCCAGTTAACGCCAGAAGTGTAATATCCAGACCGGCGACGAAGAGCATCGTCAAAGGTGCAGATAATCTGGAAAGTCTGAATAGTCTTACTGGTTTTAAATAATCCCACTGGGTTTCTTGCTGGTTCAGAAAATAGCTCTGTCCTGGTAAGAACCAGCAAGAAACCCAGTGTAAATATTTTTGAAAAAAAAAAGAAGAGTTTACAATCGTATATTTTGTTACACAATTAACTACATTAAGCTAGTTATATAGAAATAGAAATAGCTTGGCTTAATAAACAAATCAAAATCACATCATTCTCAGGGATTATTATTATCTATAAATTTCTTCATGTTATAATAACCCTTTTTACACAACCTTTGCTTAACAAAGTTTTTAATCTTGGCGGAGGATAGATTTAGTATATTTTATTGTATGTTTTGTTGCAAAAGCATGTACATCGTCCCAAGAATCAATAACTGACTCTGTGGAGTCGTGGGAATTAGCTTGTACCTGTTCCTAGTATTTACAGAGTGAATATCACTTAAAAAAAACTATTTATATTTTTGTTTACATACAGTACATTTAAGTAACTATATTATGAGGCCAAAGTTAATATATTAATATCTTAAAATTTGTATCTAAGAAACTCTTTAAGTAGAGGGCTTCTGCAAAACAAATATAATTTCAGAGTCAGTTGCGTGTCCCCATAGCAAAATAACATACGACATTGAGCTAAGGAAATAGTTAAAATAAAAAAGTCTTGTCGTTTCAATGCTTAATTCTGCTTGCTATTTTAGTTATATAGAGAGCACATATAGCTTCTTGTTTAAAAAAAAAAACTACACTCGTCAAATTTCTTTCATTTAAAATTGTAGGCACTTGATTGTACGCCATATAGTTTGAGCATATCGGTAAAAAATAATTAAAGCCTGTATAACCCAATCAGCGACCAGTGTGCCGACGAAATCTTGCCATCGCCGTCAGGACACAACAAAATCATATATGAAACATAATTATATATTTTTAATTTATAGCAGTTGTGTAGACCTTTAATAATAAAACCATTTCTTATTTATGATAATAATTGCAAAACAATGTTTCTAAATTGCCATTTATATTAATGGCCTCATCTGAGATCATTCGATCTCAGTTACAACTCAATTCGACGTTCTCATGCGAGTCATATTTATTTATTATCTTCATTTTGATCATTCTAGACAGCGTAATAGATAAATACATCTTAAAAGTCGTTAATGAATCGTTTGGTCTGTGTAAAAGTAAAGAAGAAGTGCTATTAAATATTGAATATCAACCTTTGACATTGATTATCTTCAAGTAGCTGTGATGAAAGCGACGGCAGTGAGCGAATTCGTAAAGACCGGGTAAAATGTTTGAGATAATTCTTATTAATCTTATCTATATGGGATAATCTTATAAATTTTATCTATATGGGAGACGATATATCATATGCTCGCAATGTGTTCATCTAGAGCAATAACCTAAAAATTGACAATTAGGTTCATGTTACATAATATGCTGAATTTGGCAGTGATGAAGGCATTTTTAAAATATAGAGTCCAAGTTAACAAATGGAACAACCTCGATTAAAGAAGATCCATTGCGATATTTGAAATAAAAGTAAGAAGAAGAAATTGTTCAAGAAAACACTGTAAGCTCTGAAGAAGAAATCGATGTATGCTCAGAGAATGAGTCCATCCTATTTTTAACTTGACGCACTCAGAAAGCTGAAACGTTCCAGACATGACTAATAAGCAGATTCGCTATAGGTTTCCAGGCTGTTATTTAACATGTAAGACTAAATAAATGTTCCAAATGTGACATACACGTATGTTTGACTATACAGAGAAACTGCTACCTAATTTTTTATACTAATTTTTAAATCTTTTAAAAAAATCAGGAATGGTATAAATCTTTTGTACGTAACAATTTTTATAGTAATTTTAGCTCATGTTAAATTTATGTGATAAAATGAACTTCACTTTACTTTACTTATTTTCACGCACAATCCCTGACGGGGTAGCCAGAGAGAACAAATCGCCAAGTGTCACGATCCCTACATACCTCTTTCGCTTCTTTCAGATTCATTATCTTCTTACTTCTTCTTACTTCTTACTTACATGCACGTCTAGGTATCCGAATACTCTTGACCCTCCCCTCTTCGAGCAATTTGCTCACATGGTCTTCGAAAGTTAGTCTCGGTCTACCTCGACACCTTTTAATATTAATTTTCGCGCTATATATTGTCTTCACTCATTCGCTCAACGTGCCCAAACCATCAAAGCACGCCCTTATCAATTTTTGTGATAAGATCATCTTTCAAACCTGCCATATTGCGAATCTCTTCGTTTCGCTTTCGGTCGGCCATGGTAACGCCGCACATTTTACGAAGAGATCGCATCTCCACTGCATTCAACTTGCTTTCATGCTTCTTCTGGCACACCCAGGTTTCGCTGCTATATAACAAAGTCGGTACCAACACTGCGTTATGTATTGCAATGCGTGCACTCTTCACTACGCCTTGCCTTTTGACTAACGCAGCGACACGCCTGTCCACATCTAAATCACATCTTCCATCCCGGCTAAAAGCACTCCCCAAGTATACAATTTAATTTACCTGTTCTAGACATTCCTGATTTACCCATATTTTACACTTCGTTCTCTCTTCGTCCCTTTCAAATACAAGAACCTTAATTTTATTAGCATTCAAACGGAGACCTTTAATTTCACATTCCTCTTTCATATACGTGATTAATGCCTGCAGTTCTACCTCTGATGGTGCAATGAGCACTGCATCATCAGCATACAGCAGACAATTTACTTCAATGTCACCCAATTTCACACCCAAACAGCTATCTTTCAGCTTCTGTAAACAGCTGTCGAGATACAGTATGAACAGCCAGGAAGACATGACACAACCCTGTTTTACGCCCGTTTGGACGCTAAACATGGGTGACAGGTCATGCCCTACCCGTACACGGGCTTTACAGTCACAGTAAAGTGACTGCACAGCCCTTAGCAATCGACCATCCATACCATACCCCGGCAACAGTTCCCACATTTTCTTCCTTACAACCTTATCAAATGCTTTCTCAAGATCCACAAAAGCACAGAAAATCTTCTGGTTAGCAGCCACAAGCTTTTCCGTGATCACGCGGAGAGAATACATTTGGTCCGTGCATCCTCTTCCAGGTCTAAATCCGCATTGTGTCTCCCATAGAAATCTTTCCGATTTCTCTTGCATCCTACGTGTCAAAACCTTCGAGTAAACTTTACTTACTAAACTGGTCAAGCTGATCGCCCGATAGCACTCGCAGTCAAAATGTGAACCTTTACCTTTATATAAAGGCACAATGACTGCGGATCGCCAATCATCCGGGACATCCCCCGTCCGCCAGCACAAATTGCACAGCAGATGAAAGCTGTCCCAGACGCGAGGCCCACCATATTTCACCATTTCAGCAGTAACTCTGTCTAGTACCGCAGCCTTACCACATTTCAAACTTCGAATCGCACGTTCAATCTCTTTCATACTGACGACCTCAGTGTCATCGAGGTCCGCGTCTGGCGTACCAGTCACGGCGTTACCCCCGGATCCCTCACTAAGATCATCACACGCATACATTTCTCTATAACATTCGCTCCATCGCTGCATGAGGACGTTATTGGTTCTCGAAAGCACTTTGTTCACTCTTAAGGCCATCGCACCACTTGGGGTCCTTCAAACCTCTTTCCAGAAGAGTTTGGAGTTCTCCTTAAAGTTGTGCGACAACCTTTCGTCCGCTTCCATTCTTCACCTTTCACGCACTTCCTCAATCAATGCTTTCGTGTGAACTTTCTGCAACTTATATCTTTATTTCATCTTCTCTCTCATATCCTTATCACTACTACAGGCCAAGTAGTCTAACCATGCTTTCTTCTTCTTCTTTACAGCTTCTTTCACTTCATCATTCCACCATGCATCTCTTCTTTTACTACTACCTCTTTTTATCGTTCCATACACTTCTTCCGCTGCACTTACCATTCCATCCCTAAGGTTCTGCCATGTTCTTTCCACACATTCTTTTCTGCCATCGATGGTGTTAAGCTTTTCTGCTACCCTCGCATGATATTTGTCCCTATTATCCGCTTCGGATGCAGTAGACCGACTGTGATTCTGTTATTGCCGTCCGCTAGCGCCAACCCACGAACAGACCCCTAAATCTAGTAATCACTAGATAGTGATCCGTTCCCAGGTTAGCACCCCTGAACACTCGCGTATCCATCACCTGTTTTCGCAGTCGGTCATCTACCAGGAACAAATCGATCATACTTCTCTCATTCTTTCTTTCTCTAGTATACATATGGATTTTCTTGTGATTAAACATAGTGTTTGTCACAAGAAGACCCTTTTTCTTGCATACAGCCAGTATCAGCTTGCCAGCATCATTAACCCTTTTATCGCCAAACTTTCCAAGCACCGACTCGTACCCTGGTCGAGCGGTACCAACCCATCCATTCAAATCACCACATACAACAATTTTTCGTTTCCCCTAACCAAATCTAGAACTTCTCTTACATTCTCCCAAAACTCCTCCAGCTCAGCCCTGGACGACGAAGCTACCGGCGCATAAACAGCCAAAAGGAATAACTTCGTCAGTCCCAATTTAAAGCGAACCCAGAGAAGTCTTGATTTCACAACCTTATATTCAGTCATAACATCGACCAACCAAGACGACAGCAGCACCCCCACTCCCTGGTAGGCGCTCTCGCTCTCCGGGTCTCCGGACCATAGAGCTAACGCCCCGCCAGGGAGCTCTTCAGTACCACTGCCCTTCCGTTTGGTCTTCGACATACACACGACATCTAATTCTCTTTCTTTCATTATTTCGATCAACTCATTCGTCTTATCTCTCATGCCTCCTCTAACATTCCACGTGCCAACTCTGCACTCTGTCCTCCACCTTCCGCCGTGTCGGGCTGTGCGTGACGGGTGGCGGTCCCCATCACCGCTTTGCGCGCTGCATTCCACACCAACAGGGACGAGCTGGTGTTCGTCACCTTGTGGGGATGCCCTAACCCTCGTTGGCATGGGTGCGCAGCTGTGTCGAATTGCAGCCCTGAAAAGGGCTGGCAGGGGTCGCGACGAGCACGCTTCTACAATGACCCTAAATAAAGTGAAATTATTTGAAATAAATAAAAATAAAATACTAAGTTGTTTTATCTACAAAAGATATTTATCCAAACAGTGTTTTTTTCGCAAAGAAATTAAAGTGTTTTTTTTTAATGTAATAATAAAGCAAAAGAACTAAAAGACTAATAAAAATGTGATTAATAAAGTAATAAACTGCTTTTATTTACTGCTGTCTGAGGGTAATCGCACGAGGACCAAATCATCACGTACTCATGCGTGAACATAAGTAAATCCACAGGATTTCTTTATTTATTTTTTACTAATTTAGAAATAGTATTATTTACGCGTACTTTGTCATATTTTAGTAATTGTCGTTTTAGGTTTTTTTTGTCTCCTATTATGTAAGGTAAATCATTAATATAGACAAGAAAGGTTAAAGGTGAGCCCTGAGGCACTACTATCGATCCGGAAGCACATTTTATGATGATTATGTATGAAATTGCACATTTTAGTAAAAGCAAATCTGTGGAAACTTGCTCTTGTTATGTATACTTTACAAAGAAGAAATTCTTTACAGATTATGAAGCTATAAATGAATCGACATGTCGAGGTGACAAACGATCACACAGTCTACCCAATGTTAAGTGGGTTCTGTGGTCTAAATAAATTTCTTCTTGATTAAGCAACAAAATACAAATATGTTGTCATCCCTGAGCACTAAGTTGGAATGTCGCATTTCCAGTAAATTATGTCTCCGGTTCTCTATATCCAGCATAGGAAACCGAGCAGCATTAAGTTGCTTTTTCACGCTGGTATTCGGTGAGAGCGTGTTCCTTCACAGGTTGAGCTGACCCATTCGTGAAATAGATATTGGTCGTTGTTTTGATATCAGGTAGGATCGTGTTTAATTAAGTGAGGTTGCACGTTGCAGCGTGTACGAGGCATTCGATTGTGCGGCGACGTGCTGCGCGTGGGCGGGCGACGGGCGCGTGTGCGCGGCGGGCGCGGCGGGCGGCGAGCTGCGCGCGCTGGCGCCGCCGCCCGCCCACGCGCCGCTGCACGCCCAGCGCGACGCGCACGACCTCGGTACGCGCCGTGCCACTGCCTGCCCACACACAAACCCTACATACACACACATAGTAACACACTTACGACAACGGATGGGACGCAGCTTGTCCACAGATGGACGCGTCACCGTCCAGAATATTGAACGATGCGAGTTAGCCGTCAGAGCCGGGGCCGCCAACTTTGTTCGAACGGCGATAAGATTTTTTTTATAGGATCGGGTGACAAACGAGCACACAGTCCACCTGATGGTAAGTAGTTACTGTGACCCATAGACATCTACATCTATCCTCAATAAAAACTCAAGATGCAGATGCGTTGTCACCCGTGAGGACTAAGATGGAATGCCTCTTTGCCAGTAAAAAGGGTCTCCGGTTCTCTACACTCACCATACGAAACACAGCAGCGTTAAGCTGCTATTTTACGCTGGTTTTCTGTGAGAGCGTGGTCCTTCCCCGTTCGAGCCGACCCATTCGTGCTACAACCATAATATAGCTACAGCATGGCTCTACCACGTAGAAATACCAAATATATAACACATCTGTGCAAAGAATATTCTCATAGGTAAAAAACGTTACGAAAGTAACGTTGCACAAATGTATATGATCATCACCATCCCCCCCCCCTCTCCTTTATTATAGCTCGTCCGCGGCTTAATAGCCCTGCCCTGAGTCCAATGAAGCTGTAAAAACCAAGAGATAATAGCAAGTTGGTCTAGTGAGTGAGTTGTAGAGTGAGAGAGTTGTCCTCATGGGTGGTAACGTGTCTGCTTTTTGATTCTTAATCATAATATTATGTAGATGTCTATGAATCACAGCATTCACTTACCATCGGATGGATTGTGAGCCCGTTTGTCGTCATCCTTATTCTATAAAAAAACGTGTTTCGGTGTGTCGAGTGTGAGATCTAGTATTATTACAGGCTATGAAGCACACTTATTCTCATAATCACAAAATAAGTACCGACCAGGTTGGTTTAGTGGTCATAAGTGTGACTGTTAATCCGGTTGATAAATCAATTATTGTGGTATTCTCAAGTTTGGTCGAGAAATTCTCAGTAGCAGCCCGGAGGTGACAAGTTGGCGTGGTGTTTCACCCACGTGCCTCGGAAAGCACGTAAAGTAGTTGGTCTTGGGCCTGATCTCTCTCCGGTCGTCTCGGATTACCGTCCCAATGGACTATGAACGTGAAGGAATAGAGTTTTCGCATACAATTAGGAACCATAATCCTTTCCTGCGCAGGCTAGTCTCTGTTGAGACTGGCAGCCGTGACTGAAATTCAGTTTGCAGGCTTTTTAAATTCCCCCTTAAGAGATTTGGCAGGAACTTGATTACCAGGGAACGCTGCATTAGTCTTTATATTAACTGTTCCCCGAGACTTTGCCCGCGTGGAATTTTGAAGTGAAATTACGACTGAATTTCATGGGTTTTAATTTTTTTACACGAAACCCTAATTATTTTCTCTGAAGTAAAAGAAGCTTATATTACTTCTTATAACATCAGCTATCTGCCAGTGAAAGTCCCTTCAAAATCAGTCCAGCCATTTTGAAAATTAACCAGAGCATACAAACGGAGAGACAGAGAAAAAAAATATTTTTTGTTATAAGTACCGTATATACTTTCATATGCATTAAGTAAAAGGCTGTTATTTTGATGTTACATACAGACACAATTTAATTCAAATAAATTTTTATATAGTTAGTGGTTTGAAGTGGATTTTGATACATAAATGGTAGCGATTTTATGTATTCCCGTCTGCGTATGCAAACTGTAAGTGGAAACGATGTAACAGTTAAGTACTTTGATAATTATGTGAACCTCAAGTTATTGTGCTTGTTAAGGTGTCTTGAGATATTATCATCTTCGACTGTCTGCTGCCTCAAGCTGTCATCAAAATCTCCAAAAAACTTGGCACTGTGACGCATCAACATATTGTATGAAATTTTCAGACAAAATATTATAAATATTTTTTTTTTAATTACTGGACACTGGCAAAAGTGCAACCGTACTACCTACCTAGCTAGTGATCACCTTATTCTCAAAGGTTCATTAGTCACATTTCTTAAATAAATGACCGTTTCTATGCAGTTTTTGATTCACATCATTACAGTCCATCACGAGTAAAGTGCTGAACATATGCGTTTCCTAAGGTATGCCAGAGCTTTTTTTAAGTAATATTATGTCTAGGCTTATAATATTATAACAGTTTAATAAGTAAAACAAATCACAATCTTACTTTAAAATATTACCAGGAGTGCTAAGCTGCGATTTCGTGCAGAAAGAAAATTGGAATGAATCTAACACATACACGTTAGCATCAGCTGGTCGAGATGCGTTAGTAAAAATATGGAAGATCCAACTCGAGGATGACTCGTGTGGAGGAACAAGTGCCACTATGTGCTTACTCTGTTGCCTAGAAGCTCATGGCGCTGCTGTTGAGAGTGTTAGGTTTGGAGTGGGCGACGATGGATCAGTGCGACTTGCTACTAGTGGCGCGGATGGATGGGCGCGAGTTTGGCGCCTGGCTTCTGATGGTCGAACAGAAGCTCTAGCGGCCGTGCCAGTTGGCGGTGCCACAGGGGCCACGGCAGCTGCGCTGCTCGGCACTTCCGTGCTGGTTGCCGGCATCTTGACCGGTGAGCTGACCTTGTGGCGGCTACCGGTGACCAACGAAGATGGCAAAGAACTGACAGATGACGAAGGAGACGATGGCGTGGAACCACGCTACTGGGGTATTGCTGGTGTTGCGAAGTGGCTGCGAGAATATATCACACGTATTCCTGGTGAGCACTAGCTGTTAATTTGTATTTAAATTTTGTAGTAAAGGTTTATGATTACGCACGTCTAAATCATTAGATAATATACTACTGTGTGTTGGGTCATAATTATGTTTAAATGCGTTCTTTAGGCCACTATTGTGAGAATTCACTATCAGACAGAATGTTTATCTGTGGGTATCGTACGAGACGACAAAGGAAATTGAAACAAAATAAAAAAAAGTGCTGTTGCTGACCCGCTTGCCAAGGAAAAATGAGGCAAGCAAGGATAGGCCTATGTGTAGCAGTGAATTTTATGGGCTGTAATGGATGGAATGATAGTGTGTATTGTGTTAATGTGATCTGTATGTCAAAGGCATAAGAGTGAATCTTGGAGTAGTATATTGTCCTCCTTATATCGATTATTTCGCCACTTTAGAAAATGTTTTTAACAATTTTGTTGCTGAGTACAATCATTGCATTATCATGTATAATTTTAATAACGATTGGTAACTTAAAGTTACCGAAGATATCAGACATAGTAAAGAAAACAAGAAAGTTACTGTATTGGTGCTTATTGGCCTTTCCAATGCTTCTAACACGATTGAACACGATATCCTACTAGCCTTTCTTTCCCATTTACGATTTGCACTTTCAGCCTTGAAGTGGTTGGCTACCTGTCTTCGTGGGCACCAGCAGTTGGTTCATATAGAGCAAGAGTGCTCAATGTGGACTGATCTACAAACTGGTGTCCCGTAAGGCGGCACACTTTCTCAAATAATTTACTCAGTTTTTATAATCTTCATCATTTCTCATTTCAACTGCTCATGCAGGCTACTATTAATAAACTCCATAATGCTATTACGAACTTAAATAAGAATTTGAAAGCTGTTAGAATCGTTGCAGCGCTTTGGTATTTCTGTCAACCCAAAAAAATATTGAGCATTACCTGTAGGTAGTTCGAGAATGCTGTCTACGACAAGCCTATCCAATCTACCTTTGGTCTATTTCAATGAAACCTTGATACCGTTCTCAGTCTGCGTAAAAAATCTAGGCACATTGAAATGGGATACTCATATCACTGAAATCAGCCACAAAGTCTTTGCCACCGTACAGTCTCTCTATCGTCTAAAAAAATTCTACCTGTAAACGCAAAAATCATGCTTGTGCATACACCTATTTTTTACCCTTTATTGATCATGCAGATGTTTTTACCCAGATTTGGGCCAATATCTTCCTAACAACCTTCTTAATAATTGCATTAAATACGTATACGAGCTTCAAATAATGATCATGTTTCCCTTTATCGTAATCGCCTTAACACTCACAATCATTGTTTCACAATCAAACATAGGCTCTATGTTATAATTCTGATTGTTTTTTATTCTATATTAAATAATCGGGCTTCTCCTTTATATCTAAAGTTAATATTTCAATTCCTTTTTTAAATCATGACAGAGTTGTATGGTCCTTGTCTAATCATAAAATTATTGTTCCAACTCATTTTACTGGATTTTCCAGGAAATTATTCACTGTAAAGGCTACTCTATTCTAGAATTTCTTACCCAAACACATACGAAAGTGCCAAGAAAATGCTCGTTCAAGAGATTTACACGTGAACAATTTTTGAAACAAGATATTGTCTTATGATAAGAATGTTTTCATGTTATGGAACATACATATAAAATATATATATATATATATATATACATAAATTGAATAATGTTCAGAAATAACTATTTAAAATTATTACTAAAATATAATTTATAATAACAAAGGTGCCGAAGTGAGCATTGACACGGAGACGACGCTGGTGCAACGAGCACGCGATTCCGGGCTCACAGGTGCGCGGCTGCTGGACGATCCTGTCGACGAACTGATTCGCTTACTTCTACCATGTAATCATATTACTTCCTCTTTCTTCCTCTATGATCATGATATTGCAGATCGTTATATGGTCACCGCTGAACAGAGGCTTCGTACAAAGACGATAAGTCACGTTCTTAAGCCACCTGAATTCATCGTATATACACGATAAATTCAGGTAGCTCAAGAACGTGATTTATAGAATATATGTACGTAATAAATGAATAAATCAATTAAAAACTATCGAAACTCATATCATACGCACCCAACTTTTCGAGCAGCAATAAAACAATGAATTTGTAACGCACTCGCTGGTCGCCGCACTCGTTCCGTAGGCTTCTTTGTCCTTGTCCTTTCGCAAGGCCGCCCGCGCTCAGACTTTAGTGACCTGCAATCAGCTACGGTGTGTATTGTGATGTATTGTGATGTATAGAGTCACATGAAAAGGCTTTTTGAATAGATTATAACCACTCTTCTTCAATATACCTAGTCAGGTCATAAATTCTGTCACATGTTTAATATAAAATAATTGAAACAAGTTTATTCATTATGTAACCATTTATATACCAAAATGAACTTAACGAAACATTAATTCTTATGACACTAAATTTTATTCAAAATGACCTCCGTGATTTTGAATATAGGCTGCGCGGCCAGTCGTCTATCGCAGCACGAACGAGGTCCATGTCAATATCGGCGGCTGCCTTAATCAAGGATGTCTTGAGGGATTGTCAATTTGGGATGAGGCTTTGAGCACGCCTTTTCCTCCAAGTGTTGCCATATCTTGTAATCTAACGGATTCAAATCTGGACTGGAGGAGGGCTTGTCTTCGTGTCGCATGAAGTCGATTTCACGCGTCGCCAGCCAGTCATGTGTGCTCTTCGCTCTATGAGCTGGCGCCGAATCTTGTTGGAATACACAGTGCCTGTTATTGAACATGGTATGAGAAACAGGTTCCACAAGGTTCGTCAGGACTGTATTTTGATACACAACTGCATTCGTTTTTACACCTTTCTCACAAAAATGTACCTCTGTTAAGCCCCAATAAGAAACTCCCAACCATACCATGAGCGAGGATGAAAAATGACCTCGTTGGACACGCGGAATACGGTTGCTCGCTTCTTCACTACTGTGTGCGTACACCTTATCATTCTGTTTGTTGTAGCTCTCTTCTACGGTAAAATTTTTTTCATCCGAAAAAAGAATTTCCCGATATTTTTTTCCCGCGTACCGCTTCAACAAAGCGCGGCATCTCTTCAGTCTCAGGTCCATTAGACGAGCATTCAAACGACGTCCTGTTTTTCTTCGATATGCCCGAAGTCTTCATTTAACACCCTTTTCACCTTGGTTTTTTTTATAGGATCGGGTGACAAACGAGCACACAGTCCAACTGATGGTAAGTGGTTACTGTGACCCATAGACATCTACATCTATCCTCAATAAAGACTCAAGATCCGTGAGAACTAAGATGGAATGCCTCTTTGCCAGTAAAAAGGGTCTCCGGTTCTCTACACTCACCATACGAAACACAGCAGCATCAAGCTGCTATTTTACGCTGGTTTTCTGTGAGAACGTGGTCCTTCCCCGGTCGAGCCAACCCATTCGTGCTACAACCATAGTATAGCTGCAGCATGGCATGGTTTTTACTGTGTGACAATACTTATAAGCTGACTAGGTAGTTACACTACCACCGGTTCGGATAAAATCTCTGTCCTGTAGAAAACCAGCAAAAAACGCAGCGGGACTTTTGTTTTTAAATAATATAAATTAACAATATATTACTTTACAAATTTATGCAATACACATTTCATATTAATAAGAGCAGAGCTGATCATCAATAAATTGTACCGAGACTGATTTTGTAGTTGAAAATAATAATAAATTCGTCTGCACGAATTAATCATTCAATGTGTCAACAATGACCTATTAACAGAATTCGACAAGTGCGCCGTTCTACGCTAGAGCCAAGACTCCCTTAGCGGCGGCGCTCCGTCCGTTTTATACAAGCAAAAAAGTAGCTTCACGGGCGCCACTGCAGATGCAACACGCAGGTGTGCGGTGCACGTGTTGTACACAAGAATTCTGGCTAGCCACACAGGCGCCGCCGCATGTGCAATGACGCAGACGCCGTATATGTATATATATATATATATATATATATATATATATATATATATATATATATATATATACAGATGAGAAAACTCTATAGATACCACTACATACAATGAATAAAATAATTTAGATGATTTAAATTGTTACAAATATTAGTTCATACACAACAAATTACTTTTACAGAGATGGTAATAAATATCTTTAATTATTGGAGGCTTTGGGATGTCCCTGTTATTTAAAATAGGCGTCTTTTACGCATCCAAAGGACTAACGCCGTCAATAAATGGCAATTCTCAATACACGATTACGCAAGAGTCCCTTGGATCCAGCGTCCTGTCTTTGTGACAACGCGAATTATTGTTTTTAGTCTATTCGCGTTAACAATGCAAATATCATAAAATTATCTATTCATCATCATATTCTAGTTAGCCACACCAAACACTAGATCATTAATTATGACTTAAAAATAAATGATTATGCGGTTAATTTTATGGTAAATTTGACTTACCCATAACTGGATGGTTATAATTTTAAATAAAATATAAATTCATGATGTTAAAAAATTCCTCTCTCAGGCTTTACATCCTTTTTTTTAAAATGCTTAAATACACAATTTTGAATTAAACAAATTAGATAGATATGAAAACATCTACTTAGTTATAATAATCCTTTGCATAGATAATCAAAGTAATTAAATTTTCCATCAACTTTAAATAAAATTTGCCATAATTTCTTTTGATTTAAAATTAATCATGAAAGACATTTTTCCAGCATTTAAATTTACTGAAAATTTGGAGAAGTACACAAATTTAGAGGATCAAGGTGAAATTGAAGAAGATAATAAGTTGGAAGCAGAATTTGAAAAAAGCCTGGATGTGTCAGACATTGGTTCGGAAGTAGAAGAAAATAAACAACTGCGCAAGCGACTTGAAGATGAGCTTCAATGGTTGCGACGAGAGCCTCCCGACCCTAAGCTTGTAAGAACATAGGCACTTATTGATATTTTCATTTTTTATATACTTTCACAAGCCGTTAACAATTAGAGATTAATTTGTTTGAAAAAAAGCAATTGCATAAAGAAGTGACTTACAATTTAATATGTAAAGTAATATTGCTCACATAACGTGTTATTATCATCATTATTCTGTACCGCCACTGCCGTGTAGTGGCGGTTAAGAATATCCACTACCCCATATCTTCCCGTGGGTGTCGTAAAAGGTGACAAAGGGAACAGACAGGAGATGGGCAGCAGCATCTTCCTGATAACAACAAACTTACAATAAAAAAACTGAGGTTAACAACCCGTTCGCCAAGCGTAGCAACTATGGCAAATACCCCCCTATGATGAGAGTAACAAAGAAACGGCCCCCAGTCCCCGGCTTCCCCGCTATTCCTGGCTACGGTGACGACCATAGTAACGGCGGGGCAGGGGGTGATAAGAATCTCCGGTGGAGGTTCGGTTGCCACCTAAGACGACTCGAGCTGGCAACATACAACGCACGCACCCTGAGGACTGACGAGAAGATCGTGGAGCTGGAAGAAGAGATAGACAAGTTACGTTGGCATATTATAGTATTATCCGAAGTCCGAAGAGAGGGGGAGGACACGGTAATCCTCGAATCCGGCAACTTGCTCTATCACCGGGAGGACGACCATTTGTCCCAAGGAGGTGTCGGATTTATCCTCCACAAGTCTCTCGTTAACAACGTTGTAAAGATTGAGAGTGTGTCGACGAGGGTTGCGTACCTTATACTCAGAATCACCAAACGGTATTCGCTGAAAGTCATACAGGTTTACGCATCAACCTCGGCACACCCCGATGAGGAGGTGAAGAAAATGTATGAAGATATCTGTAGAGCCATGCATTCCTCTAAAACCCAATATACGGTGTTAATGGGAGACTTCAATGCAAAACTAGGCACAAGAGAGAACGGTGAGCTGAAAGTAGGGAAATTTGGAATAGGGCAACGGAACCCAAGGGGCCAGCAGCTGGCAGAATTCATGGAAGAGGGACTCTTTATGATGAACTCTTTCTTCCAGAAGCGGCCCCACAGGAAGTGGACCTGGTCGAGCCCCGACGGTTCCACAAAAAATGAGATTGAATTCATTATGACGACCAGACGACAACTGTTCAGTGATATCTCCGTGATCGCGGGGGTGAAAACTGGTAGCGATCACCGAATGGTTAGAGGCACACTCAACCTAAACGTTAAGTTGGAGAGGTCTCGTCTAATGAAGTCAACGCTCCGTCCCCCTCTGGCTCTGTTCCAAAGTCCCGAAACCTTTCAGCTCGAGTTACATAACCGTTTTCAGTGCCTAGAAGTGAGTGATTTCCGCAAAGTAACGCCTGATCCTATTAATTATAAGGAAGATTATTCTTTGAGTATTAAACTATTAGTGAGTTTTCGATTTAAAAAGAATTTTGTGTGGCGTCGCCAGGAGACAAGCGCGCCGCACGCGCTGCGCTGCGCGATGACGCACGCGCTGCTGCGCGAGCCCGCGCGCGCCGCCGACGGGTTCTCCTACGAGCGGGCCAACGTACTCGACTACTTCTTCGCTGCTGGCAAGTTTCTTACCATTCAAAGATTTTTATGTATACTACTAGGCGATCTCTGTGGCCTTAATACATTGCGCGCTAACTTACTGTCAATTCTCCGTAACTCCTTTACTATCATTCAAAGACTTTTACGAGTATGTATAATTTTTACTACTGGACAGACTCTGCGAACTTTATACATTGCGCACTATGTTACGGTCAATCCTCCATAACTCTTTAAGTGCGAGTGACCAAGAAGATGATTAGTTGGTTCTTTGTTTTGTAAACCGCAAACGTTGTTTACGACAATGTGACACTGATTTTGTTTTATATCACTACGACGCGCACGTGATCATGCGATTTAAAGTTATGTTACAGTTTTGTTCTGTATTGCCTGTCTAGTGGTATACATAGAAGACTTTGCTATCATTGTTAGATTTGTGTACATCTTACATCATATTTTTCAAAAGAATGATGTTAAATAAAAAAATAAATTATCCACACAATAAAAACACGCAAGATATACGTCAACCAATCTCTAGAGTGAAAAAATCTTGTATAAAATACGTGTATTATGTAATTTGGCTCTAACGATTTGGATGAAATTTTATTTCTATTGGTATTGGTAAATTCAGAGAAAATTATTTATTTTATCATGTTACAAACATCGGTCACTCAGGTACTTTTTAAGATATTATTAGAATAGCCAGAACTTTCGACACAGTAATCGGGTCTGCATACACTGACCAATCGATATCTGAAAAATAATGCTCAATAACGTAAATATATCGCCTATGTAGTTATACTTCAGATATATCTAAAAACTGCAAAACAAGATAGTACTACCGGTGCGTGTTGTCAGTGATGACTTATATGGATTTGAGACATGGTCCTTCACTGTGCTATATGAGAAAGCTCAAGGTTACTCAGCGAGCTATGGAGCGGGCTATGCTCGGAGTTTATCTGCATGATAGAATTATTAAAAATGAGGATATCCGCATTAGAACTAGAGTAACTGATATAGCCCAACGGATTAGTAAGCTGAAGTGGCAATGGGGCGGCCATATACCTCAAAGAACTGACAACCGATAGGGAAGAATGGTTTTCAAATGACAACCTCGTACCGGTAGACGAAGTGTTGGACGGCCCCTACTACATGGAGTGACGACCTGGTAAGACATGCAGGAAGTCGATCTATGCAGGTAGCTCAGGACCGTGCTTTGTGGCAGTTCTCGGAGGTGGTCTATGTTTAGCAACGGACCTGTGAAAGGCTGTAATAATGATGAAGTACATGTAAATATTTAGAAATCCACTCCATAGATGGCGCTGTATCACCGTTGACGGGACGTCGCTTGCGGAGCGCGCGCGTCGTTCCCAACCTCGGCTTGCGCCGAACGCTGCGCGAGTTCCTCGACTCTGCTTCGAACCAATAGACACTAACGACATTGTACTGGATTTAAATGACATCACTGGAATGAGCCTTTTATGTGCACCTAATATCTTTTAAGGAAAGTAATTTAATTTAAAAAATGTACGATGTTATGGTTAAGAACATTATAACTTTGATATTCCTTTAAAATATTAAATACATTTTCTTAATGGCTTTCACATCGTTTCATTTGTAATTAACTATTTACATTTTTTAATTCATAGTAAGAGTGAACAAACGAGTACAAACTCCACTTGATGGTAAGTGGATAGCCCATAGAAATCGATATCTATTCTCGATTAAGAATTAAAATGAAGTGGTATTATCACGCCTGAGCAGCAAGGATTGCTTTGTTATCTACTGTCAAAAATTCTTATCATATTATGACTATACGAAATACTAGCTTTTGCCCACGACTTCGTCCGCGTAGATATTATACTTTAAATCATACAACCATACAACACACCCTCTTTAAGGATGATTTCCGTGATCAAAGCTATCCTATTTCCTTGTCCGGAACTTAAACTATCTCGATACCGAATTTCATTTAAATCGGTTCAGTTGTTTAAGCATGAAGAGGTACAAATTGCTCACGCGGCGATGAGCGATGTTCTCCTCCACCTCAGCCGCAGTACGCATGAACGCCTTGCGCGCGCCTTACTCCACAATTTTATATCGTCGTTACATTTAAAATATTTTACCAAACTACCTAGTTACAAAGACAAAAGTTATCTACTTTGAACATCAGAAGATATTAAAATATTTATTTTGATAAAATCCATTTGTTACTGCAAAATGTGCATTAAAAATAAAATATAAATTTTTATTTCATTTATGGTTCACTATTTTGGTAATAATGACTTACACATAAAATATAGATATATACTGTCACGGACTTTATTTTTGTAGAACTATTTAGGAGAAACAATTCCACCATATATTATATTTGTGATATGACCCAGGCGTTTGATTATGTCCACTACCATACACTCTTATATAGACTACATGCTTATGGCATCAGAGGTAATGTACTACACCTTATAGAATCTTACCTTAACAATAGAATACAAATAACTGAAATTAAGAAATTTAATAAAGTTAATAAATATGAAGAGATATTTCAATCATCGGAACGTAAAGTGAGCTTTAGAGTTCCACAAGGGAGTGTCCTGGGACCGTTACTATTTATATTGTATATTAATGACATACCTAAATACATAGAACAAAATTTGACGCTTTTTGCAGATGACAGCACCATAACAATACCTTGTAAAAATATTAATACAAACGAATATGACATAAACAATTCCCTAAAAAACAATTATAAAATGGCTAGATCACAATAATTTAATAATAAATTTAAGCAAAACAAAGGTTATACATTTCAGTCAACGCAAACACGATAATAGTAAACTCATAATACAGTATAACGCAAATTAACTTTTCCCCCCACATTTTTCTTAATTTTTAAAGCTAACTTAAGAATGTAAACGATTTTTTTCTTAAGTATCTTTTTTCCATTTAATATTACTCGATTAAATTAAAATTTTTCTTTTTACCTACTGAAAAATTTTATTTATACAAATGCAAAGGTAAAAAATAGTTTATACTCGTAGCAGTAAGTAAGCCTAATATAATTTTATGTGATTGGAGTTTCCTACTCTCTTTTCGTTAAGACGAACGTTAAATAATTGTACTTAATTATAGCACTGATATGAAAAGACGTTTAAAGAGATAAAATAAGTATTAATTAGAATTAAAATTGTAGTTACGTCTTGAATAATCTCGAGCATTTTATGAGATTAGATATTGATTGTGAGGTAATAAGGAGTTTGGAGTTTTATGACGGGTCTATTACCGCGGCTGCAATCCATCATGCCTTTTGTGGAGAGAGTGTTAGGTTCCACGTCAGTGTTCGTTTTTATTATTGTACTAGTGTGTGCTGATCACTACCACCCAGACCTTGAGTTTGAGAATGACAAAGCGGTGAAGGCCACGACTAACCTCGCTGAATTGACAGCACAGTATTGGATAGACGAAGCGCAGGCGGGCATTAAGGCACGGCAAACACGTCTGCGCACTGATGATGGTAATGTAGCGCGCAACGTGGTGATGTTTTTGGGTGACGGTATGTCAGTACCCACGCTCTCAGCCGCGCGTACGTTATTAGGCCAACGCTCTGGTCGTCCTGGTGAGGGAACACAGCTCGCGTTTGAAAGTTTTCCATCAGTTGGCTTAACTAAGGTAAGATATTTTATAAAGTAAAGGTAACATATGAATTAACGGTTCATCTGATTGTACGTGCTACGGCACCTTACAGACAGCTCCAGCTAACTTACAATAAATAACGGTAACTTGCCTATAGTATTATTTCTTGTAAGTCGAGAAACGTTTCGTTCTCCAATCCTACGATGGTTTTATTACATGGTGCATGTAAAAACAATTTATATTGCAAACTTTTCATTCAGAAACTTAAGACGACTTAAAGTAAAAATAAAACTTTAAACGATTCATAAATAGTTGAATTAGTATTTTGTTGAAGAAAGGAGTTTTCATGCACTTCATTTACTGCAAATTATCTCGTAAAAAAAAAACGAAGCGTTTTCAAATATAAAAACTCGTTATAAGATCAAATGCCTTAAAGCCGGTTATTAGAGTGGTTATCCTTAAAACCGTAACAAGACAGTATTACAGCAGCTTGGCGGTAGAAATAGGTAACCAACCCAACTCTAATCTAAAATTATTACGAAATATTATTTTAGGGCTGTAAAAATTTCCGTTTATAAAATAACTTTCTTCTTCGCTCTTGTAGACTTATTGCGTAGATGGACAAATTGCAGACTCGGCATGTACAGCAACGGCGTATCTGTGCGGTGTGAAAGCGAATCGTGGAACAATAGGTCTGACGGCCTCCGTGCCGCGACGAAACTGTACGGCATCACTCGATCCATCTACAAATATTGAATCTATAGCTGCTTGGGCACTTTCCGATGGACGTGATGCTGGTGAATTTTATTTTTATTTAGTTCATAGTAAAAATATGCAAAAATATGCTTTTGCCCGGAAATCAACCTGTGAGTGATTCTTTTAGCAAAGGCTGTGAGATCTTCTTCTCTGTCAGCTCGGAACAGTCCACTGTTAGACACAGATGTATCTTATTGTAGAGTGGTTCACTTTATTGCCACGGTTGGTAGGTTGACTGCCGCTCGCAGAACTAGATGTATTGCATCATTATCAGTGCCCCCCGTCACTGGTCTGTATATACTGCCTCTGGCATATATAAGATTGTATACTGCAATATACGATAAACATCATAGTAGTTTATTTGCTTTGCCTCACTCTTCGGTATAAGGCTTAAATTCACCTGGTCCTGTGGATCTGTTGAAAAGTACTTCGTATTTTAGTTAAAAGGTCCCTTAATATATAGCCTTTCTCCCTACAAAAATGCATTGAAATCCGTCTATAACTATTTAAATGTGATTGTCCGAAACAAATATCAAAAAATCAAGCTTTCACATTTTGTAATATGAGTAATATTTGTATATTGTTCTATCTTCAATTGTTTCTTATTTTTAAACCATGGACGTCTGGTTTAATGTTAGTTTTTGAGTATGGTTGTGCTGTAATCTGTGGATGACATTGCGTCCGATATAACGTATAAGCGTTACATTCTTATTTTTCACCATCAGCGCGCAAAAGCCAACCGGTAGAAATGGTCTCTCTTGTTGTAGGGAGGATTGGTTTCAATCATCACATTTGGCTGGCGGGCTGGTGATCGCAGTACTAAACATATCGTTCTCCTTTGACGTTGCTGTCCGTCACCTGTCTGGGTATTTTACCTTAAATACTGGATGCTACACTTACAACACCCACGGGATAAAATGTTTTGTTGGTTTTTCCACGCCGACGCTACACGCTAACAAATAACATTGAACACGGGTATTTCAGAATGAGTCACTCCCTCTTTGTGGATTGCCATTGATGATATTAGTAGTTTTCGACTTTGTTCTTAATTCGTTAAAGTTAGAGCCTATATACATAGCACTACTGGACACAGGCCTACTTTTATTTCTGAGAGGGTTTTAGGACAAGGAAAGGTCCGCCGTGCTGCCCCAATGCTTGTAAGCGAACTTCACATGTTTTAGAATTGTTTTTCTTATTTATCACACATGCAAGTTTCCTCACGATGTTTTCCTTTACCGTCGAGCACGTGGTAAATCAGCACTTAAAATTGCAATTAATAATTTCTTTGGTGCTGGTGAGGATTGAACCCGGGTTGCTCGTGTACTGTTAAACTTACAATGAGCTACCACGGTTTAATTCGTTGTCGCAGTCGAAATCAGCTAAAAGAGCATTAATAAAAAATAAACAATGATCTGAGAAATTATTTTCAACAACGTTTCACTGTATTCAGGTATTGTTACCACGACGCGGATAACTCATGCTTCACCAGCGGGAACTTACGCGAAAGTTGCCAATCGCAATTGGGAGAATGATGCTGGTGTACGTAATAACAACCAAGACCCAAATATTTGCAGGGATATAGCATACCAACTTGTGCATTCATATCCTGGGAATCAATTTAAGGTGAGCCTTTTCTTTTAATAGATTATTTCGGTTCTTACCATGAGTGCAGTAATAGGTGATTATGGAAATTACTAGAAACATGTAAAAGCTTCGGATAGATGGTCGGATGATATAACCATTCACTCAATCCAGGCGTGAAATATCTAGTCTTGCGACGTGAAATGGCATCAGTATTGCAACACTTACAGTACTGCGATCTTCATTCCACCTGCTAAACGTGACGATTAAGACAAATCCTCCCTACAGCAGGAGAAGCCCATGCCAAGCAGTGGATGTTTAAGGGCTGATGAAGAAGAAGGTTATTTCTATTATAAGAGTTTTTGGAAGAGTGTCGTGAAGTGAACTTTGAAAAGATGATGCCAGCGTGGGCTTGTGGTTACACTATCTGGCAACTATGCCGTGTAGCTTAATCTCATACAGTCATACATTACACAACTTAAGAGAGAAGAACGACATTATTAGGTTATGTTAGTAAAAAGTACAAATTAACTTTTGCTTGCATCCTAATATTTATATAAATTAATGATGGACGAGATATGGCGCTGACAGCTGATGCACAGGTCTCCTAGTTCGGCTGCAGATGCTAGGTTTCAAATATATATATAACAAATTAGCTTTATTAAGTGTTAGTCAAATATCTTTGGAAATAAAGAACTTATTGTTATTTTTATTATGCCTCGATGCTTCTAATCAATCATAAGTTAATATTCTTGTCAAAAAATGGTCAAAAGGACATCATGGAAAGTAACTTATTTGACAGGTTATTTTAGGAGGCGGTAGACGGGAATTTATACCCAATACAAACATCGACGAAGAAGGTACAGTTGGCCGTAGAACTGACGGCCGTAATTTAATTGAAGAGTGGCGAATGGATAAAATAACTCGCAATGTCTCTTATCAATATGTATGGAATCGTAACCAGCTGAGGAGTGCAGCTGACAATATGCCTGATTACCTGTTAGGGCTCTTTGAAGGATCTCATATGCAGTATCATTTACAAGCTAACGAAGAAACAGAACCGACGCTACCCGAGCTTACGGAAATAGCAATCCGTTCGCTTAGTAGAAATAAGAAAGGTTTTTTCCTTTTTGTAGAAGGTGGAAGAATCGATCACGCACATCATTCTAACAGAGTGGAGCTTGCATTAGACGAAACTATTGAATTCAGCGCTGCCGTGGCTCGCGCTACAGAACTATTATCAGAGGAAGATTCACTAATTATAGTAACGGCTGATCACGCACATGTTATGGCATTCAATGGGTACACTCATCGTGGTGGTGATATTCTTGGACCCTCCGACAATCGTGATCAAGACGGAACGCCTTATATGACACTTTCCTACAGCAATGGCCCTGGATTTCGATCTCATGTTAATGGTTCTAGGCCTGATGTTACTGTCGAAACAAACTTTGGTAAGTAACTTTTATTTTTGACTATTCTAAAAGTGTAAGATGTAATAAAGAAACTTTTTTCTAAATGCTACTCTAACTTGGTCGCGTAATACCCTGCTCACTGCTTAACAAGATTCTGAGAACCGATTGATTGCAGAAAATATATTCAAAAGCTTTGAAGCTCATCAGAAACTAGCCATCTATGCAGGAAAGGATTCTGTGGGTGAGTGTGTGCGCAAGCACAACTTATCTCTCACTCTTACAGCGCTATGGGATGATAATCCGACATGATGGGAGATGTATCAGGTGTAGGATTTACGTGGAGGCTCTGAAGTGCTTTCCAAGGTACAGGGTGAAACACCGCGGACTTTCTGACTCCGGAGCCGTGCTGCTACTGGGAATTGCTTGAGAGATAAATCCAGTAAATTATTTTGGCTCCACCCGGAATCACATGATTGGGAGTCGCACGACCACTACGACTTCTAGACTAACGAGCTAGATAATTATGACCACTAGATTAATGAGGCAGTCATTTTATTCTCATTATTCAGTGCAGTAAGGGGAATATGGGAAAACTTTTCATGTTTTAATTTACTTACGTACGTATTCTTAGATATTCTTGAAAATTTTTACACTATGACTTATACCAGTATGAATTTAATGGCCTAAATTCATACTGTGGATCTAAAAACTGGTTTTTTTAACACAGTAAGAGTGACTAACGAGCATACAGTTCACGTTATGGTAAGCGGGTGCAGTGGCCCATAGAGATGTACATCTTTTACATAGACAATATCTATCTAATATCTATTATCGATTAATAAACAAAATTCAGAATGCGTAGTCATCCCTGAAGGTTAAGGGGCATTGCCCTGTTTCCAGTAAAAAGAGAGCAGAATTAACTTCCTATTTCACGATTTTTTGTATTCTTTAAAATAACATCTGTATCGTATAACAGTATCGTGGGGGCTTTTTTAATTTATATTGTTTGTCATGAGATAGCTTGTATGAATCTTCATTTTGTTTTCACAGGGGTCCCCACCTGGAGGGCGCATGTGGAGATTCCACTGTCGTCGGAAACGCACGGTGGTGATGACGTGGCAGTGTTTGCGCGTGGTCCACAACATCAGATGTTCTCGGGTCTGTACGAGCAGAGCCAACTGCCGCACCTCATGGCATACGCGGCCTGCATCGGCCCCGGCCTGCACGTCTGCAGTGCGGCGTCGCGAATCATTCTGACGCCATCGTTGACGTTGTTTATTGTTTTATTTTTTTTTACATACACGTAAAAAAATAACCTCAGTATTAAGTCTGTATATGGCATATGCCTTTTAAAATATATGTGTTTACTTTAATTGCTTAAATTATAGGACCACGCAGTCTCCTTCTTGTTTTTTTTATACACAAAACCAGAAATTTGATTGTTTGTTCAAGTGAAAAAATGAAAAGTAGAAGCATACAAATGTGCAGAGCCTCCTCTCGTTACAGAGTGTTATTAAGACAAGGGTAGGCCATCCGTTTTGATTTCATGGCCTTCGAAATAACAAGCCAGGTTTGCGCCAATTCTTGTGTAGGAATGGGGTTGGGTTTTTATATTGATGTTAATAGGATTTGTTTATATTTTGATAATAATTATCTGAGATCTCGTGCCTTAAAAATATATAAATGTAAAATATTACGTCAAATATTCATTATATTTATTAAATAAAATTTTATCTGCAAAATATGTATTTTTTTAAATTTATATTGTTTTATTACGCAGCATAAAGCAGCCAAAATTTGCAACTATTCTACTCTGTGTCTTAATAAATCCCAAAAGTCCTCAAAACTTAAGATTTTCTCCTATATCCATGAAGATCCATTTTCAGCTGTAAAAAAGAACAATTTAGTAAAGATCAAACTTCTATTTCATATCGGTACAATTAAGCGAGCAATTATTTATTATAAAAAGAAGTTCAGAAATAGGAACAACACATTGCAAACATTTATTATTAATTTTTGTTTTGCTATAGTATGGTGTAATTACAATGTTTTTGGAGCGTAGTCCTTCCCCAATCTAAATTCATACTCGTTTTATCCTATAACAATAATAAAGATGCAGCATGTCTCTACCACGTAAAAACTTTTCGACTAGTTTTTGTTGCTAAAGGGGAATAACAAAAATATTTGGGAGGGAAAAGGTGCAAAAAAAAGGGAAAAATAATGGGAAATACTGAAAACTTTGCATCCTGTAGGAAACATTTGCTAAATAATTTTCGAGGCGTAAAATGGCAAGTTAGTATATTTGCATTTTTTTACGTCTAGTAGGGTCAACCATTTTTATATTTATATACTTTGCTCTGGACTTTGTAAGTTTGAAGTGTGATCAGACTAAGACCAGGCTAAGGATAGTTGAAGGCCGAGGCAAGTCAATGATAGGTTTAGGAAATTTGGAAACTGGTTGATGTTTGTGCTTACGCACTACCAAGTGGCCATCTTTCTGGAACCAGCCCCAGTCATTTTGCCGTGGACTACGGTCCACTTCCCAACTTAACGTCACTCTTAAGGGGGAGCGCGTTTGTTGGTTGTCGCTCACCGCACACAGTGTGTGTGAAGCTATGGGCCTCCCCCACATTTTTTAAATGTGGGAGAGCGAAGCCCCTTCATCGGGTATTTTTATAGAAATATTGTGAGCCTCTTGCAAATGTGAAGGGATTATTGATCACTTCAATTATAAGGAATTGATTGATGTGAACCTAATACAAGTGGTATAGGGATGAGTTAATATTTTTAACATTTTTGAGCCCTTTTTTCGTGAACGGGGTCTTTAGCTTAATATGATTATAAGGTGCTATCAATAGCTTTCGATTGCTCTAGTGTTCATCATATATATTCATTCTTCCAAAAGACACCTAGAAGAACTATGTTACTAAAGAAACACAACATAAATAATTGTCCTAACTAAGATGATTACGCCATAAATGGGGGGAGGGGCGCGTTACAGGATCAAAGTAGCTCGATACTAAGCTATTACACGAAGCCATGGAGTTGAGTCCGCTTGTTGCACTTAAGAGTACTACCAAACACACTCTCCCTGATCCGGAAGATAGCCGACGTATATCGGCGTCTTAGCGTATACTCGTTATACGCTAAGACGCCGCCCACAATCGGTAGAGGTGTGCGATAAATTCTTAATACATGCGCTCCACCGTTGCACGAAATTTAGTGACCGATTTTCCGATTATCATATAAATTTATAAATGTTATTTACCTTCTGTTACGGCCCACAGCTGCCCCTGCAAAGGTCGCCTTGGCTAGGGCCCATAGTAGCCTCCTCGACGGGCAGTCGAGGGTTTGGGCCCAAATGGCCATATGGAAAAATTACTTATCATATTACACAAGCCGTGTAGTGGCGGTTAAGAATATCCACTACCCCATATCTTCCCGTGGGTGTCGTAAAAGGCGACAAAGGGAAACAGGCAGGAGATGGGCAGCAGCATCTTCCTGGTAACGACAAAATACAATAAAAAACTGCGGTTGCCAACCCGCTCGCCAAGCGTGGCAACTATGGCAATATACCCCCCATAATGAAAGTTACGAAGAGACGGCCCCCAGTCCCCGGCGGCCCCGCTATTCCTGGCTACGGTGGCGACCATGGTAACGGCGGGGCAGGGGGTGCTAAGAATCTCCGGTGGAGGTTCGGTTGCCACCTACAACGACTCGACCTGGCAACATACAACGCACGCACCCTGAGGACTGACGAGAAGATTGTGGAGCTGGAAGAAGAGACAGACAAGTTACGCTGGCATATTATAGGATTATCCGAAGTCCGAAGAGAGGGGGAGGACACGGTAATCCTCGAATCCGGCAACTTGCTCTATCACCGGGAGGGCGACCATCTGTCCCAAGGAGGTGTCGGATTTATCGTCCACAAGTCTCTCGTTAACAACGTTGTAAAGATTGAGAGTGTGTCGACGAGGGTTGCGTACCTTATACTCAGAATCACCAAACGGTATTCGCTGAAGGTCATACAGGTTTACGCACCAACCTCGGCACACCCCGATCAGGAGGTGGAGGAAATGTATGAGGATATCTCTAGAGCCATGCATTCCTCCAAAACCCAATATACGGTGTTAATGGGAGACTTCAATGCAAAACTAGGCACAAGAGAGAACGGTGAGGTGAAAGTGGGGAAATTTGGAATAGGGCAACGGAACCCAAGGGGCCAGCAGTTGGCCGACTTCATGGAGAAAGAGGGACTCTTTATGATGAACTCTTTCTTCCAGAAGCGGCCCCACAGGAAGTGGACCTGGTCGAGCCCCGACGGCTCGACAAAAAATGAGATTGACTTCATTATGACGACCAGACGACAACTGTTCAGTGATGTCTCAGTGATCGCGAGGGTGAAAACCGGCAGCGATCACCGAATGGTTAGAGGCACACTGAACCTAAACGTTAAGTTGGAGAGGTCTCGTCTAATGAAGTCAACGCTCCGTCCCCCTCGTGCTCTAATCCAAAGTCCCGAAACCTTTCAGCTCGAGTTGCAAAACCGTTTTCAGTGCCTAGAAGACTGCAATGAAGGGACGATTTGAATGACAAGCTCGTGGAAACTGTCCATGCGGTCGGAGCTAAGTTCTGCAAGACCCGCCGCAGAAGAACACAAAAACTCTCCGATCACACTCTTAATCTCATGGCTGTTAGACGGGAGATGAAGCTACATTCTTCAACAGATTTGACAGCATACAGGCAACTGAACAGACAGATCTCCAAATGCATGCGGCGGGACTTACGCAACTTCAATACAGCTCGTATTGAAGAAGCGATCGAGCGGAACCAAGGCTCCAAAGTCTTTGCCAGAGATCTGTCTGCCAGAAAGAGCCAACTGTCAAAGCTGAAGACCGAATGTGGCAGCATCGTTTCCGGGGCACCTGAGATTTTGAGTGAGATTGAGAGGTTCTATGGGCAGCTATACACGTCATCGTTGGAGCCACACGCAAGTGTGAGTAACGATCCAAGAGCGAGTCTTATCCAACATTATTCCGATGATATCCCGGACGTCAGTCTGAGCGAGATTAGAATGGCTCTCCAGCACCTTAAAAACGGCAAGGCCCCAGGCCAGGATGGAATTACAGCGGAGCTTCTGAAAGCGGGTGGAAAACCGGTACTTGAAGTCCTTCAGAAGCTCTTTAATTCCGTCCTCCATGGTGGCATTACACCGGAGGCGTGGAGCAGAAGTGCGGTGGTCTTGTTCTTCAAGAAAGGCGACAACGCTCTCTTGAAGAACTACAGACCGATTTCCCTTCTGAGCCGCGTCTACGTGCTGTTTTCGAGAGTCATTACGAATCGTCTCGCGCGCAGACTTGACGACTTCCAGCCTCCCGAACAAGCCGGATTCCGAAAAGGCTTTAGCACCATAGACCACATACATACCCTTCGGCAAATTGTACAGAAGTCCGAGGAGTACAATTTGCCACTATGTCTGGCGTATGTGGACTATGAGAAAGCCTTTGATTCCGTCGAAATTTGGGCGGTGCTGCAGTCCCTTCAGCGATGCCAAGTTGACTGTCGGTATATCGAAGTGTTGAAGTGCTTGTACAGTAGGGCTACGATGGCTATCCGAGTACAGAACCAGAGTACGAAACCTATCCAATTGCAGAGAGGTGTAAGACAGGGTGACGTCATATCCCCGAAACTCTTCACCGCTGCATTGGAAGATGTTTTCAAGCTTCTGGACTGGAAAGGATACGGTATCAACATCAATGGCGAGTACATCACTCACCTTCGATTTGCCGACGATATAGTCCTTATGGCAGAATCGCTGGAGGACCTAAGCACTATGCTCAATGACCTCAATAGTGTTTCCCAACGGATAGGTCTTAAGATGAACATGGACAAAACAAAGATCATGTTTAATGTCCATGTCACACCTATGCCGGTAGTTGTTGGGAACACTAAGCTCGAAGTTGTTGACGAGTATGTTTACCTGGGACAAATAGTCCGACTAAGTAAGTCCAACTTCGACCGAGAGGTCAATCGACGGATTCAACTCGGTTGGGCAGCGTTCGGGAAATTACGGCACATCTTCTCGTCAGGTATACCTCAAAACTTGAAAACGAGACTGTACACCCAGTGCGTGTTGCCAGTGATGACATACGGAACTGAGACGTGGTCCTTCACTGCTGGCCGGATGAGGAAGCTCAAGGTCGCTCAGCGAGCTATGGAGAGGGCTATGCTCGGAGTTTCTCTGCGTGATAAACTCAGAAATGAGGATATCCGCAGTAGAACCAGAGTGACCGACATAGCCCAACGGATTAGTAAGCTGAAGTGGCAATGGGCCGGCCATATAGCTCGAAGAACCGACAACCGATGGGGAAGAAAGGTTCTCGAGTGGCAGCCTCGTACCGGCAGGCGAAGTGTAGGGCGTCCCCCCACTAGATGGAGTGACGACCTGGTAAGATTTGCAGGAAGTCGATGGATGCAGGTGGCTCAGGACCGTGCTTTGTGGCATTCTTTGGGGGAGGCCTATGTTCAGCAGTGGACTTGTGAAGGGCTGTAATGATGATGAATGATGATACTACACAATAGGAAGAAGTCTAGGAAAACAAATATTACGTACCTAGATCCGAATCTAAGACCGCCCCAAGGCTCGGTCGGGCCGTAGGTAGGGTAGGTGCATGTAAAGTGGTGTTTGTTAGTGTGTAAATGTAGGTGACCTAGCCCAGCTGAGGTGACCGGGCAGCAGCCGGTTTCCATGCTGCTCCACAATGCTACATTACTCCAGCAGGCGTCACCGATGGACAATTTCTTTCTTCATGTCACTATTACAGTCTATCAACTTTATTGTACAATTAACTAACTTCAACTCAACTAATTCAACGTTCATCGTAGAATCAAACACGTGACACCCGACGCAAGTAACGAACAGTAGTTCAAAGTTCAACATTCAATGTTCCGGATTCATTTATAACCAAATTACAAATAGGGAACTAATGCGATCTCTTCATGAGTCACAAAGTTCAGCGTTACAAACAACAACCAAACTCCTTCGTTCGATATTAAATACTACGCCGCAATAAGAATTCAAAATCAACCTAGCTGACACGTAAACTAGCTACAGAGTCAACACACAAGAGGCTCTTAACGCGACGGTATAATTAAACAATGATTTCCAAAACAATCAACCGGGCGACGCCCTCGAAAAGGAATGCGCAGTTCAAATTCCAGACCGTATCTCTACTCGGCGCGCGCGCAAAATTCCACGTCACACGAGTAAGTTAAATATTGCAAAATGCACTTCAACGCGCAATCATTATATAATTGGCACAATTACTTTCAAACGAAATTACTTTAATCAGTCAAATACAATACAAGCCTCTTGTCACGAACTTAAGCCTTAGACAAATTAAACCGAAGCGGTTTTCACGAAACCACAATTACGTAGCGAAGTAACGCGCACAAATTTTAAAAATCTAGACCACAACCCAAAAACCGGTCTCGCGAAACATCTGCAGTGGTCACTAAAATACGCCAATTGACTGCACCGCTGCCTTCGAGCTACTGTTTCTCTTAGCCCAGCGCCGGCGTTACCTCACCTCGACACCATCGGCTGATTCGATAAGTCGCAGGCGATTGGATGTCGTCTCAAATGACCATTTTTGGGCCTAAACACTTTCTTTATTCCCTATTATATATATATATATATATAAATAATAATAGTGACAAGTATTTTATATTAAACATAACAGCTCTGGACCCCATATGCACTGTGTTCCAGTGCCGCACAACCGGACAATCAAGCCTTCCTAATACATATATAGGAGTCAGTTGGCACTGTCTCGCAAACATACTCAACAAACATACCTAATGCGCTGCAATATCGAGACAGTCCCATCAGCATCCTAAAGCCATTATTATACTGAACACGTAGATCATTTACAGATCTGCGAGAATACTTGACTAGGCTCCAGGTGTAAAACGTTTGTCAGTACGCCTTAAAAAGGGTTATCTTGACAGCTTTTGTACACCTTGCAAACCTGCGAGACAGCTTGTTGCATTTTACCGCTAATGCTCTACGTCCTCGTTCAATATCCAAGTCATCTGAGAGGTTCTCTGTAACCCAGTTTCCTAGGCATTTAAATTTGATGACTCTACTCAAAGCTACTCCTCCAAGCCTGACCAGTGGGATCGCCTTGGGTTCTTTGTTTCCTGTCTTGAAAACAAGCAGTTCAGTCTTTTTGGAGTTATACCTAAGCCGTGGGCTTCTGCATATCTTTCACATAAATTTAATAATGTCTCAAATGCCCTGATCGAAGGGCTCAGCAGCATCATGTCGTCGGCGTAACTGATGCTGTTTACGAAGTTATCATCTATTGAGCATCCGACGCCAGTTCTGCTAAGCTCATCGATCAATCCATTTGTATACAGATTAAAGAGCCTCAGTGAAGTTAACCCTCCTTGTCTCAATCCGCACTCCAACTTATATTCAATTGAGTATGAAAATGCCCACCTTACATTATTTGGTTGGTTGTGGTACCAATACCTTAATATATTGACTATCCCCGTAGGCGTGACCATTTCCCTTTGAAGCTTATCCGTTAATATGTTGTTCGAAACCAGGTTAAATGCCTTCGACAAGTCATAAAAACATGCGTAGACAGGCGTTTTTCTTGTAACATAATATTGGACGGTATGCTAAAGTCGTAAGATTGCAGTTTCAGTGGACAGTTCAGGTCTAAATCCAAACTGTGCCCCATGTACATGTATATATTTCAATCTCGTACTGCAAATTCCCTCTCACCGTACTGGTTTCCTCTCAAGCTCTTTCGCTGTTACAGCTGTACGACTCTGGAATGCGCTTCCCTTAGCAATAAGAAAATCCCCTAACAAGTGGATTTTTAAAACAAAAGTAAAAGAACATTACTTTGGCTCATCTGATATATAAATATTTATAACATACATATAATCTGTTATATCCCTATATTATATGTTTAAATAAGTTTGATATACATGTATGTGTATGTGTGTGTGTGCGTGTGCGTGTTAGAGTGTGTGTATGTATGTATGTGTGTGTGTGTGTGTGTGTGTTTTCATCCTAGCCCACTGCAGTACACACATCTCTCAATAACTTTCCGGTTGACTGGTAGAAAATACCATGCCGTTTGTACCTTTAGTACAATAAAGCGTATAAATAAACAAAAAATAAATAAATATATTTACTTCTTTTACGATCAAGCAAACCATCCAATACTTTCTCTATCACAGTAGCTAGCGAGATCGGTCTATAATTGGTCTTGTCGGCAGCATCCAAATGCAACCGTCAAATGTTACCGGTGGCAGTTTTCGTAGCTCTCAGGCTACGAATATCGGGATTAGTTCTGCTGATGTACACTTGATAAGGGAGATAATGTCCTCGAGATCTCGCCGTATTTTCCAACTGCTTTGCCCTTTCTCTTTATCTTTCACCCTGAAGTTTGCACTGATTGATAGAGCAAGTCTTTTGCAGCCGCAATCTCTTCAAGAGACAACGCAGTTGTACACAGGCGATCTATGATTTATTCATTCTTCACATCTACTTGATTCTGAATAAATGTCAAAACTTCACTAATGACAAAGTTACAGCTATTTTACTACATTCACAGAGATTGTGTAGAACGCCACACAACCATTTCACGTTAAACACGCGACAACGTACGCGACATGACTCATATATTTGACTTGTATTTCAATTTAATACATTTTGAATATTATAAGCAGAGTTTTAGTAAATTTCATTATTTTTTTAAAGACAATATTTATTTACTTTACTATAATGCTTAATTTTCAAAATTAATGTATATTAATAAAGTTAAAAATATTGACGCCATACTATATATTTTTAGGCGGCTTTATTTAGAAATTAATTATTGTTAATAATTATGCGCCGCGCCGTCACACTAGGCCCATCATTATGTTTGATTATGTGATAATCCGATGACACAGCCAGTAGTTTGTTATCGCTGTGTTGACTTACATTACTTTATCTAAATAATTCCTATAATTTGCAGATAAAACCAAGTGGCGATATTATTACAAAACTTACTATTGGTGCATATTGTACATATAAAGGGGTAAATTGCTTATTTTTATTTATTCGACTTAAAAAATAAACGTGTCCTATTTATTTATTTGTGTATTTCTTAATTCAATTGAAAAATAAAATAAAAAAAAACAAGGTGTTCAGTGTTTCAATAAAGATAACTCATTATGTTCAATATTGTTTCAAAGTGATTTATGATAATATAAAGGTGAAGTTAATAAGGCGTAAAATTATTAACAGCATTTATCAATTGGACTGAAAAACTGTTCTAATGCAGTTGTTTCAATTTGCGTATTGTTCCGCGATAGTGCTGTTGGCAAATGCCAAATCCATCGACCGTTATCATCCCGAGCGGGATGAGATCTCTACAGCTTCGCTGTCTGCACCGAACAGTGTTGAGTTGACAGCACGTTACTGGGTAGATGAAGCTCAAACGGGAATCAAGGCGAAGCAGAAACGGTTACAAACCAGCCGAAATGAAATTGCTCGTAATGTTGTAATGTTTCTGGGCGATGGCATGTCGGTGCCAACGCTGGCGGCTGCACGAACTTTGCTGGGACAGCGCAATAATCAACCAGGTGAAGAAGCGCAGCTTGCTTTCGAGGCTTTTCCAACCGTCGGTCTCGCTAAGGTTCATTTTTTTTATTTATCCTTAATGCCTACTTGAAAGTATTTTTTATTTCTTTTATAGAATAAGGGTGAACAAACGAGCACACAGTCCACATGATGGTAAATGGATGCTGCGGCCCATAGAAATCTACATTTATTCTAGATATATAAGAATCAAAATGAAGATGCGTTGTCACTTTTGAGGAGTAAGAGGGAATGCCTCATTTTCACTAAAAAGAGTCGCCGGTTTTCTGCACTTACCATATGAAAAACAGCAGCATTAATCTGTTATGTTACGCTAGTATTCTGTGAGAGTGTAGTCCTATCCCGGTCGAGCCGACCCAATTGTTGTTGTTGTTCTTTATTTGTTGTTTTTTAAAAAAAACAAAAATTTGAGATTATAACCATAATATAGCTGCAGCGTAGCTTTGTCACGTAAAAAGCAGAAAGTAAACTAAATACGATGTTATTAATGTTTTAGACATACTGCGTAGATTCTCAAATAGCTGATTCAGCGTGTACAGCAACAGCATATTTATGTGGAGTGAAAAACAACTATGGCGTGCTTGGTTTAACTGCTGCAGTACCACGCCGCAACTGCTCAGCATCGCTTGATACTTCTACACATATTGACTCCATCGCGGCTTGGGCTCTAGCTGACGGACGTGATGCTGGTAATAAATTTAATTTTAAACTGCAAACTTGTAAACATTGACCAAAATATACCTTGGACGGGTTAAGTGAAGTTTAAAATAAATCAACTTTAATACAGGCATCGTTACAACGACCCGAATAACTCATGCATCGCCAGCTGGAGTCTACGCCAAATCAGCAAACAGAAATTGGGAAAATGATGCAAAAGTTAGAGAAGACAACCAAGATCCAAATGCATGCCGTGACATAGCATATCAGTTAGTACATTCATCACCAGGAAATCAATTTAAGGTAAATTGTTTTGAATACATGCGATTTATTTTATTGCATTTTATACTTCGATCAAAATTACTTATTTAATGATAAAAAAATTAAAGGTTATTTTAGGTGGTGGAAGACGGGAGTTTTTGCCTACAACAAGTATTGATGAGGAAGGTACCTCAGGACGAAGAACTGATGGACGCAATTTAATAGAAGATTGGCAAAAGGATAAAATATCACGCAACGTAACTTATCAATATGTTTGGAATCGCGATCAGTTAATGAACGCTGCAGAAGCGCTCCCTGATTTTCTCTTAGGCCTGTTCGAAGGAAGTCATATGCAATATAACTTGGAAGCTAATGTTCAAACTGAACCAACACTTGCAGAACTAACTGAAATCGCAATACGGTCACTGAGCAGAAACAAAAAGGGATTTTTCCTATTCGTTGAGGGTGGGCGTATCGATCATGCACACCATGATAATCAAGTTCAGTTGGCTTTAGATGAGACAATTCAGATGAGTGCAGCTGTTACAAAAGCTGCTGAACTTCTATCTGAGCAAGACTCACTGATTGTGGTGACAGCTGATCATGCACACGTGATGACTTTCAACGGATACACGAAACGTGGTAGTGACATTCTCGGACCCTCTGATAAGAGAGATGAATCTGGCATACCCTATATGACTCTTTCTTACACCAATGGACCGGGGTTTCGTTCCCATGTCAACAATACTCGAGTTGATGTTACCGCTGAATCTGAATACAGTAAGTATCATAAGCTTGTTTAAAATATTAAATTACAAAGGTATACCTTTTTAATAAAAATCTGGAAACTTTCTGTTACTTTTTAGTATCTGGTACTTTTCAGTTAACTTCAAAAAAGAGGTTTTCATTTTTCTTTTTTTCTTTTTTGTGTAGTGTATGTTACGCGATATCTTCTTAAATTGTGAATTTTTATTAATCATTAATAAGACTTGTTAAAAATCACACAATCAGGCGCATAGGGTCACCGGTTTCTCCAAAACCAACTCAGTCACTAGGTTGAAATAAATATTATTTACAAAATGTAAAAACTGAGCGTCATATAGTATAGATATAAGTAGTAAATTGAAACCCCGACTTCAGAAGCTAATATAAGAAAATTATTTTATAATTTTTAATTCTTTGAAATCGGTTTATACTATTTATTACAGGTTTAATTTTAGTTTAAATATTACGAACATTGCTCCAATGCATGTTGTAATAATATAAATCTTTTGCCATGTGTAGGATATTACAAAATGACGGAGAGTGAGGGTGAGACGCGACATTTTCGGCTTTCGCTGCTCCGTAAAATGACAGTTTGAATATCTCGAGAAGCACTTGATTTTCTATTAAAGCAACCAACATCATTTCTTAAACGTCACGTTTAAAGACGACGCTGTCATCACTAAGGCGCTTATCAGTTGTGGCAACTACGGATAGCCTATGTGATATGAAATCCCTAATCTATCAGTGAATTGAAAGTGACAAATTTAACTAATTTGTGTAAATGTCTAGGACAACTTGATTGGATGAGCCACGTCGACGTACCGTTGGATTCGGAGACGCACGGCGGTGATGACGTGGCAGTGTTCGTGCGTGGTCCACAGCACCAGATGTTTTCGGGTCTGTACGAGCAGAGCCAGCTGCCGCACCTCATGGCATACGCGGCCTGCATCGGCCCCGGTCTGCATGTCTGCAGTGCGGCATCTCGAATTGTTCAGATGCCATTAACGATGTTGATGATTGTATTAATACGTAGATTATTCCACTAAAATGCTAAAACTTCAAGTGCATAAGATTGTGTCCGTAGGAGATTTTTTATAGAATTGTTGTCTGATATTGTGTCTATTTTGTATTTGTTAATTGTCTAGTGAGATGAAATTGTTGCGTTTAGTAAGTTTGATTCTCAATATAATTCTTAAACCAATACTCAATTTACTTTTAAACTACGATGTATATTATTTAAATAAAAATAACTAATTATAGGACATAATGGTGCAGTAATATAATATATATCATATAAATATAATAGAATGTAATGTATGATAAAAATAGCTAACCATAGGTAGCTGAGCTGTGTAATTGCAACGAAGGAAAGTTTACTACCCCATATTATCCCTTGGGTGCCGTCAGGTTGAATACTGATACAGGAGATCGGCAGCAGCAGCTTTCTTATAGAAATTCAGTTTTTATTCCTTACAAAATAATCAATGCATATTGTGATTACCCATAAAAAGAAAAACAATTATAATTTGTTGAATTTGTTATGAAAATGATCATTGTATTACTGTTGTAATTTCTGTTGGTAATCCTAATAAATAAATAAATTAATTCATTAAAAGTAATAAAGAATTGTGTTTGCTAATTCGCCTGCCAAGCATAGCAACTAAAAATCTGACAGTGAAATAGTCATTTCATTATTAAAATAATGGTTTCTAAAACATTTGACATCATCGTTTTAAGAGTTATTCCAGTGAATACAAACTTTAATATTTTTATCAAAAATTTTATGAAATTGTGTAAATAATTAAGGCAAGTATCTATTTTTTAAACTGAGTGTGATATTAAAATTATTTAACTAATTTCATCGCGTATATTAACTTATTTTATACTCCCGATGTTTCGAGCACTTTACAGCATCCATGATCACGGGGGGGGGGGGGGGGGGGGGCTTAGGTGTATGACGTCCCAATGTCATAGTTAACCACGGCTACCTCCAGATTAAAAATTATTAATATTTGTTCCGGTCTGGGTTTTTTGGCGAGGATTTGTGATCCATCAAATCTAATTTAGTGAAGGGAGCGATCCTGTGGGTGTTCACAGACTGCAAACTTCCCGGAGCGTCGATTCTTCACTTCAGCTATGTGTTCTTTAACGCGAGATTTTATGGATATTTTAGTTTGTCCTATATAAGAGAGACCACATTCACAATCAAGCTTGTATACTTCTGCATCTTGCAGAGTTTGTTTTAATGTTGTCTGTTGTTGTTGTTTTAATCTTGTTTTAATGGAAGCACGCTTCAAGATGTAGCCAATCTTGTCAGTGACACCTCTGATATATGGCAGTATAGCAGGCACTCGCTCGACTGTGACCGGCTTCACTCGTTCACTGTGACGTAGGCGCGGGACCCGAAGCTTATTGTCGTGCAGTACTTGCTTGACGTGTTGGAGATCGGCGGCCAGGTGTTTACTATCACAGATCCCTCGTGCTCTCTGAAACAAAGATTCACCCACGCAAGCTAACTGTGAAGGATGGTGGTGAGAATCACCGTTTAAATATCTATTCGTATGGTTCTTTTTTCTATACACAGTGTGGCTCAAGGTGTAATCAGGGTTCCGAATTACTACACATGTAGAAAAGCTAAAGAATTGTTTACTTCTAACTTCATTGTGAACTGAATTTTAGAATTTAAGGAGTTAAGATGGTTTAAAGACGCAGTTACTTTATCTAAAGGTAGAATTGTGAAAGTGTTGTCGACATACCGCTTGTAGAATCTTGGGTTTATGGGAGAAGTAAGCAGGGCTTTCTCCTCAAAGTTTTCCATGAATATATCAGAGACAATGGGAGATACACCTGTATCAGCATATCGCTACTCCATCTACTTGCTTGTAGAACCCTTCCTTCCACAATTGGTAGCCAGATGTAGGGCAGTGTCTGAGTAATATTGCATATTCTACGGGCATGATGTTTTTCTCTAGCCTTCTAGTAACAATCGAGATGCAGTCTTCGACAGGTAATCATGTGGACAGAGACTGCACATCAAAACTGACCATAGTTTAATTGTCTGCCAGATGAAGGTTTTTAATCTCGCTGACAAAATGGTAGGAATACTTTGTGTGTGCTCTTGTATGTCTCTTAAGCGGTGAGAGTATTTTCGCTAAGTGTTGAGCCAATCTGTAAGTTGGTGAAACGATTTGGCTCACTATGTGACGTAGTGGAACATTGCTTGTGTATTTTTGGTAACTCATGCAACTTCGGTGGTTTGGCTTCCGTAGTTGTTATCGATTTTAGGTCTAGATTTAATTTTTCGGAGTGTTTCTTTATGAGGTCACTAGTTGTTTTTAGTGTGTTATTTGTTGGGTCGTTTTTGACCTTTTTTATAAGTAATTGCATCCGACAAATGTTCTTGTATTTTAAAATTGTAATCCGACATGTCCATGACTACCGTGGCATTTCCTTTATCTGCGCGGAAAATTGTGAGTTCTAGTTTATTGCGTAGGTTATTAAACTCTTTAAATTCGTCTTTAGGTAGATTCAGTTTTAGTGCTGAACTTCGGCGTAACATAGACGAAATGTCTTGACATATCGCCAAATCTTCCTTTCGCATATTGTTTTTAAATAAACAGTCCTCGACACTACAGTTAATTTCTTCATACGGTAATTTTTTCGGTGTTATAGCGAAATTAAGGCCTTTCGATAATACTCTAATTGTTGCATCATCCAGAGTTTGTGTTGACAGATCATAGACCGCGTTTAATCTATGATCCGCGTTTGTAGTCAACGGTTACAGCAGTAAAGTGCTCGAAACGTCGGGAATATGAAATAAGTTAATATACGCGATAAAATCCATAAAATGTGTTTTATTTAAACATGTAGTGTTCGCATATAAGGAATCATTATTAAAATTATGAACTGAAATATTTGTCATCAATATAGTGGAAACATAAAGTTTTTATTCAATATAGATTATAAATAATACTTATTGAAAGTCACTCTTTTGTTTAACTTTTGTTTAATTGTTAAACCAGTGATAACTGGTGCGAAAGAAAAACCTCTGTCCTGGGAAGAACCAGCAAGAAACACAGCGGGACTTTTTTTTAAATATAACAGCTTAGAATCATGTATGTTACACAAATTAACAACACAACGAATTAGAAATATATTATCATCCATAAATTCTTTAATATCATAATAACCCTTTTTATACAAACTTAGTTTAATAAAGTTTTTGAAATTTAAGCAGGTCAAATTTTGTATATTTTCTGGAATTTTGTTGTAAAAGCGTTTACATCACCCCAAGAATGAATTACCGACTCGATAGTCGAGTAACTGATACTACTAGCTTGTATTTGTTCCAAGTATTTACAGAATGAATATCACTTATTTTTGTAAAACTAATTTTGTTTTTGTGTACGTACATTACATTTTCATAAATGTATTGAGAGGCCAAAGTTAATATACTAATTTCCTTAAATTTTTGTCACAACCACTCTATAGGCTTTATATCGTAAATTGCTCTTATGGCTCTTCTGTAAAACAAATATAATTGCAATGACAGCTGCATGTCCCCATAGTAAAATACCATAGGACATTATGCTATGGAAATAGCTAAAGTAAACTAGTCTAGCTGTTTCAACTTTGGTAAGACTTCTAATCTTTTTTAAAGCTATTGCTGCAGAACTAAGTCTGCTTGCTAGTTTTATATATGGGGGCTCCATTGAAGCTTTCCGCCTATTATGATACCAAGAAAAATGGTGGTATCTACAAGACTCAGTTTCTCGCCATTTAAAATTCCATTAGTATTTAATTGTTTGACATTTGGATTCATGCATTTCATACATTTCGTTTTAGTGCCATTTAAATGCAAATTATTAACATTGAACCAATTTACTAATTTAGATATAGCATTATTTACTTCGTCATATGTTAGTAATTTTCGACTTAATTTGAAGATTAAACAAGTGTCATCTGCAAATAAATTTATATCATGGTTATCTCCTACTATGTAAGGTAAGTCATTAATGTACACAAGAAACAGAAAGGGGCCGAGAATTGAGCCTTGAGGCACGCCCATTTGTACCATCGACCCGGAAGAGCTCATACTATTTTTGATTTTACCTGCTACGTATCATTTAAAACAAAGTTAATAACAAAGTAAAAATGATTCAACGTGATCTATTTAAAGTTCTTATGTACAAATTGTTTCATAGGCTTATGTTACAATTGGACATGCAAGACGCACAATTTATTTATTTTCTATCATATATTTCCCTCTCTCATCACTAAAATCAATAACAATACAATATAAAACTATTTCTCCCGAGTCTCTCTGAGTTTAAACTTACTTTATACATTTTCCGCCGCCAAGCGATTTGGTATGGAAGCTAAGGGAGAAGGTATGATTAAGTTCTTAAGGCTGACAACCAGTTGAAGTATGTTACAGGTGTTCAGAAAATGCAGCAACCTTGGGGTAGCCAATTTTACGGGAACATTATAAAAAAAGTTGGCGAATATTTCACGGGGAACATAATTTAGCTGTAGAAACATATTATAAATTTATAGATTTTCAGACGGTGATGGATGGTGATGTGAAAGAGGTATACCCTGAAATCTGCTATCAACATTTTGGTCTTCTTAAAACAAAACGTCGGTGAATAGATTTAAGATAATGATTACGCTAACATAAAACAACGTGGAATGAGACGGTGTAGTTTATCATGCTACTAATCCCGCAGACAAAGGAAATAATTTAAAATTAAAAATATTGTACAACCGTCTTCAATATAAATTATTAAGAATAACTCAAAACTATTAGCCAAAACTTGATCTAATTTGTGAAGCACCAGATTTCAAATAAAAAAAGGAATCATTAAAATCGGTTAACCCTGTAAAAAGTTATGAGGTAACACTCATAAAAAAAATATAGCCGAATTCAGTTTTTCAAGCCGGTAGAAAAATAGAATAGAATAGAATGGTTTTTTATTCAATATTGATTATTTCATAATACTTATTGAAAGTCATATATTATGGTTCGCAAAATACCTCTGTGCTG